TGGTCCTATATTTAAAATTACGTTGGCTGTAACGGGATCTGACGGCGTTCAAATCGGGAGTGTTCGGGATCTGTTCCTGTGAAAGCATTAGTGTTTTTTTTGATGTGATGGATGATCCATATATAAGGTGTGGATTCATTGTCATTTGAAGTGATTTGGCTTTTTTGGTTTTTTTTTCTAAAATTTGTAAATTGGTTTCAATTCTTTTCGTGTTGTTGTCAGCAGTGTGGTAATGGGATTTCTTTTCCTCTTGTTTCTAGTTGGTCGCCTTGATTTTGCACTGTGTTTTGGGTCTGTACGACTTGATTTGGTTGTGTAAGTTTTTGTTTCAAAGAGAACATTGATTGTTTCGAATGATTTGTTGATGGATTTATTTTGGGTTCAAAGATATCCGAATAAAACATTTCATCTCGATGATCGATGTTACTTCATTGAGTTTTTGTTGATTAGATTTGAATTAATTTCGTTGATCTTCATCTTCAGTGTAATGTGTTTGGTTTCCATAAGAGTAATCGTTATATCGGTTGTTTTTTTTTTTGAAAAATTGGATAGTTTTCAGTCTGCTTGGGTGTTTTTTTTATCTTGAAAATTCATTGGTTGCTAATTGGCGTTCTTAGGTGGTTGTTGATTATAATTATGTTCCTAGGACTGTGTTTTTGTTGTTGAGAGTGGTCGTGGTATTTGTTGACAAGTATTTAATCGCAAAAACTCGTAGTTGTTGTTTGCAAAATCATTTTTACTGGTTTATTTTTGTTTATTAAAAGAACGTCTCTTGGTTTTTGGCCTGCATGTTTGATAACCTATTTGTGAGTATTTAGGAAAGAATGTTGCTTAAGCTGTTGATTGCTATGTCAAATTGGGGTATTGTTTCATATTGTGGTGTCGTTATCATTGGATGATTCAGTAATATGTTGTTTGCTCTGTTGTTGATAGCTGTGTTTTAACAGTTTCTTCATTAGTTAAATGTGATGGTGTTTGAATGTGTTGTTGATTCAACTTTGTAGCTCTATTTAGGTTTTCTTGTGTGTTCAAGATGGTTCTATTTAAGTTAGTATACATTGTCGTATTGTGAAACATTGTGTTTTAATTTAAATGAGTAATATCTGTTCTGAAGGGAGTTATTCTTTAAAAAAAAATTTTCGCTAAAACTGTTTAATTTCTGAGCTTGAAAAACCGTTTGCTATATTGAAAGTCTTATCGTGATACTATTTTGGATTTCATACAGAATCTGTTCTATCTCCTATGATCGTGTCTTTTTCACGATATGCGCGAAATTGTTTTCGAGATTGTTCTATGAATCCTGATTATGTTGAAAAAAGTCTATTTTTCATCAGGCTACTCATACTAAGATTTGTTCTAGGACGGGGTCAGTTTAAGAAGTGGGACTGAAGTGAAAGATGAGTAACCAAAATTTTTCACTGTTTAGCTTAATTTTAAAGATGAGTTTCAAGAAAACTTTCACTTGGTCCTGAATCGTTTGTAAAAGTTGAAGAAAAAATCGATGTTTGAGATCGTTGGACAATTCAGAATAAGTGGTGAGCTTGAATTTTTGAATTGATCCAAGCCTTGATGATCTAAGTTTAAAACAAAGTTATCTGAAGAATAAAAGTTTAAAATTAAAGATTTAAAGTTTAGAAATTCAGATCCAAGGAAAACCTTGATGAAATGATCAAAACTGATCAAATTAGATTCAAAAATTAAATCAAGACTCAGCCTTCATTAAAATTTTAAAATTATTTCAGTGTGAAAGAAATGTTGACAATCCAAGAAAATTCTTGATTATCCATTTTTGCAAGTAAATTAGTTGTTTAAAAAATTTGTATCATTTATTGTGAAGTAAAACAATAAAAGAAATGATCCTCGAGAAGCAAGAAATTATGGACTTTCATTTAAATTAATCATTTAAAATTTTACTAACTGCTTCCTAGGTTAAATTATTTCTTCTCTGGTTAAATTTATAAATAGTTTCAGTTTTAAAAAATATCATAAGTTTTAGTAATGGATCATGATTGGTTAGTTTTTAATATTTTTTAGTAATTATTTATTTTCAAAAAATATAGTTGAATATAAAATACTTGTTTTAAACTGATTCCGTTTTTTTATTCAGTCGCTGTACTGCGCATCTTAGTTTTATTATGGAAAAAGTCATGTTCTTGTACGCGAATAATCATATGCCTGCTTCGCGAGTACTTGTTAATTAATTTTCATAGATCGGTATTTTTTCATCAGGGTCTTTTTTGGGCTGATGAATAGTTCATCGCTGCACTAGACTGCTTGTTCATCTGCTTATTATCTATTAGTTTGTTTATATCCTTTTCATATTATGAAGGCATATTGATACCCTTCGTCCTATTTGCTTAAATGTTTTAAAATTTTTATTATTTCGTCTGAAGAAACTGACGGAATATTTTGGCTTGGGTGATGCTTATTTTCAAAGCAAATTTTGACTATATAACTAGCAACTTCTGATTCAGGCCAAAAGGTATTGTTGCTTGAGCACAAAGTGATGAAAAGATAGTTCACGGGTTCTTTTATTCTGTAAAGTTTGGTAGGTTTAAAAATTGCCAATGTGATCAACAAGGGAACTGTAACGCGCGGTAAATTTCGTGCTACGAACGCGTTAGCGGAATTTAATCAGTCCCAAAAAAAATGTTCCAAGTTGAATTGACTCATGCTATTTGGTGATACAATATGCTGGTAAAACTATATGTGAATATTTTGCAGTTTTGATAATACTTTAAACTAATTCTTCGCTATATGCAAAATATATCACTATGTCCTAAATATAGCGTGTGAGGTGATGATATTTTTAAAAAACAAAAAAATTACGAGACCAAAGAGTGAACTGGATGTGCGCACAGTTTTGTGTCTGTATGTTCCTCGATTCCAGAGACAAATCTTTAAACATGTTGAAATATGTAAGTGGATACCACAAGCACATTTTCTCTGGATTTCGCGTACAAATACCTGCAACGTAAATTGTATCGCCATACTTGGTTTGTCGCGGATTCCGCAACAAGCGAACATAGCTAGTTTCTCTGGATTCCGCAATTGTAAGTGGATTCCGCAAAATGTAGCTGGAATCCGCAAACTGTGAACGGATGCCGAATTTGGATTAGTACTAAACTTTTATATGAAAAAAAAATGAACTAGAGCTTGAATTCTTATCTATAGCAATATGGCATTTAACAGCAAGTACTTTATCATTGTCAGTGGAATCCACGAACAAATATTAAAACATTGGTTAAGTAAATCGGTGGTTGTCATCCTTTAGAACATGAGATACATATCCCAGCAAGCAATTTTTTTGGATTTTTTTGGAAACACAACACCGAATAAGTTCGTTGTTTGGAATAAGTTGGTTCACAATGTTTGAAAACACAACGCTCAGCATATGGCCGAACCCAATTTCGAAATTTTTTTCAAATAATTTTTGAAGTACTAATTTTATAAGGGAATTTGTTTTTTTTTCACTAGAAGTCACATTTTCTGAAACCGCTGTTAAAATATGTGTATAAGTTTCACGCTTTTAATCCAGTCAAATCCGATTCAAAAAAGCGCGTTTTTGTTGAGTAATTTTCGTTAACTAGTAAAAAATATAAAAATTGCTCCTATCTGAAGACAAAAATTCAATACTCCAATCAATTCAAATCCCTACTAATAAGGTTTTTTACCCATTTCTTACAGCCTTCGAAATTTTTTGACCTAAATTTTTTAAAACATTTTTTCATAAACAACTCTTCTATAACTGATATTTTGGGTCCATTGGGTAGAAAAGGTTGTGATAAGCTCCTCTAGACAAGTGCCTACCCCCAATTTTCTACAAAAAAAATTTTAAGCTCTCAGAAAAGTCAAATTATTGACTTTTGCACCGTTTTTTCAAAAAGTTTTTCAAACAATACAATCCCAAGTTTGAGATTTTGGTTTTCATTGTCCCTACGATTCAGCGGTTACGACAAATTAATTTAAAACAAAAAATGGTCTTCGGAGAAGTCAAAGTTTAGATTTTTTGACCGTTTTATAGAACTTTTTGATTTTGCTCGGAAACTACCCTCCCAAAACTGAGGTCTTGATTTCAATCAAAAACACGGGTTGTGGGAAGCTCTCTTGTTTTAGCGCCTTAGCTCACTTTTTGTATCGAGAAAAGTTATGATCCTCGGAAAGGTTATTGTTTTGTTTCTTGTCCATGTTTTGAAACTTTTTGACTCTTCTTGAAAACAGTTCAATCTGATATCAAGCGTTCAATCGATGCAATAAGTTGAGGAAAGCCTCCGTGCATAAGATGCTATGCCTTAAAGTTTGTACAAAAACTATTGTCTCCAGGGAAACTCCAAACAAATCACTAAATTATTTTTGAAATTACCCATTTCATCTCGCATCAGTACCATAAAGTCAAAAAGTATCAAACAGGTACCTCCAGTTTTAGCTGGACCTCTAGTCAAAAATTTTGCGAAGTGCAAAAAATTTCCATACCTCAAAAAAGCAAATCCCATGTTTTCATCAAACATGAACTATCCACCACTAAATCAGATACCAATCATAATGATATGCAGCAAAAGTGAACAAAATATAATGCTTCAAAATGCGCCAAATAAACGAGCATCTTCCTAGTTCGTAATACTACGCTCTACTTGTATAATTACTTTTTTTCGTGAGACAGTACAACACATTCGACTAACATAGCATAAAACTTTTTTCGAATATTTAATTATAAAACGTTATTACAAATTAGGAAGCAAAAATATGACAATAAATTTATCAGGGCATAAATACAAAAAGAAATTGCATTTCGCAATTTGGAATTGCGGTTCGCGACAATCACAAGACGTTGAAAACGAAAATATCAAAAGAGAAATAAAATGAGGCTGCTTAGATATGAGAAAAAACAAAGTATATCAAAAATGATTGAAATGTTTTGTAAAGGCAGTTTAAATGGTCATAGTTCAACTATGGTTTCAGTTTTTTGTTAAGGCATTTGGTTAACAACTTTCATATAATAATCACAGGTTCATGAGAAACTCGTCGAATCCTTTCAGCTGCTTGAATTCCAGAATCATCTGTTGTTCAATCTCGTTCAAGTTGTGAATGAAAGTGCACCTCCCAGCGTGAAGACATTTCCCAGTGGTGTGAAATTGTCGGCAATTTATGGACTTATAATTTATCGGATACTTGGAGGGTCGAAGCTCCGCAATGCTATGCGCAAACTGACATCGATCCTCGTAGCCACAAATGATCCCAGAAGTTACGCTTCGACACAATTTAGTCTTGAACTTTTTGTGGTTCACGATATACTCGCCTGTATTTGTCGAAAGCTGGCTTTGTCGACCTTCGTCCGAATCTTCCGACCATCTCAAACTCTCAGCATTTGTAGCTTCTCGGCTGCAAGTACTCGGATTGCTGCCGAGGTCCAGTCCAAATTGAGCTGCGGGTGGCTCCACGGGAAGCGAGCTGTCAGGGGAATTCGAAATTTCCGAGAAGTAGTCGGTAAAAGGCGAGAAGTATCTCTCACTGAAGTTCTCGTCAGAATTCTCGGCCGATGAGGAGGAAGATTGTTCACGAGCGAAGATGTCGGAGCCGGTTTTGACGCTGAGTTGCAACCCCTGCGTAAATTGTTTGAAATCGAAGAGACTCGATTGGTTCGAGTAGTAGCCAGATGCTTCGAACGATCCGAGAGACAAGAACTCGTCATCGACACTCAGCGAAGGGCTGCAACATGCAGACTACATTATAAAGAGATCCATTTTTTCGTTTTCAATCCGAAACTTTGAAAACTTAGTCGTAGATAAAATATTATTCTTGTTGGCTCTTTTTTCAATTAAAATGATTGCGTGCGACCATGGCGAATACGCATACTAGAACAGGGTAAAGAACATTTTTTAGATAGATAAGTGTCCTCAAAAATTGACTATGAATGTAATGAAAACTAATATAGCAGATTGCACGGTATGTTTCTCGTGTACCTTATTTGGCGGCTGGCAGGCGGTCTAGCAATGGGCGTCGGCGGATGCAAATTTCGTCCGTTGTCGGGTGAATGGGCCAACATATCCGCAAACGAGTTCGCATTCTGAAACAAAAGTTTGTTATCAGTAACATTGGTATTTATATTTCAGACGCCGTCCGTTTGTTAACGACAGGCAGCCTCCTAATTACTGGGAACTTGAATGTTAATTTATCTGAGACATTGGTACAAGTATGATAGCTGGGCCCCTTAAACTTAGATTGGTCCCTAAAGAAAAGTGTTTAAACGTAAAAGCTGCAAAATTGTGGTTCGCATTTATTTACTTGTTTGCAAAATTTTTCAAAAATTGCGCGACCCATTTTTCATACTTGCTTTTTCCTGGGACCCAGCTATCATACTTGTAACGAGATATTTTTTGCCCGTGAATTTTATATCACATCAATACTAAACCAGATATGAGAACATTGGAACAAGTCGGATAGCTGTCGGTAAACCAGGATTTTCGGACAATCAAATCGATACTCCGAGCTTCCTCGCAACATTTAGACCCTGAATTGGATGCAGTAAAATGGTAACATAGCATGCAAGATAGCACTCCCCCCTCGCCCCACCATTATTCGGTACCCTACTATCATTCTTAAACCAATACCGCATGCGGTGTACCGCACCCTATTTGATCTTTGTTTTTCAAATGAACATTTGAACCTTATAGTAGTAATTAATGCGAGAATATCTAGATAAAACAAAGTGATGCAAAAAATTCTCATCGAAATGATCAAAGGGAAACACTTAAGAATCAAGATCTCCAACTACAATAAAAAGAATTGTTCGACAACAAAACACATTAATAAGGAGACTTTATATTTGATTTCTACCTCCCAATTGTAAGTGTATGCCAAATAGAGAGAGCACTCGAAAGAAAGCGTCATCTATGGACTTATTGAGCCATAGAAAAAGTTTTCGATCTGTATCCAAAAAGTCAGTCTCAGAGTTAATTAGATAGAATATGTTCAATTTGAATACTTCAAACCCTGGTTTCCCGCGAAGGAAAATTTCAAGTTCCAGATTACAACCATGTACCTCAACAAATGAAAGAAAATGAAATAAGGCCGAATTCGAGATGAAAAAGTATCAGTTATTCACGCAGGCAGCATAAATGCTGACAGCCATTAGGTAGACTGACCAAACTACGCACGAATTCCATGGAAACATGATTTTTCTAGGCACTTAGAAGTTAATATTCAGATTTGGGATCCTGCCCCGAAGAGCAGGTTTGGAAAAAGAGAAAATTCTCAATTTGTCCCTCCGCACGGAAAACTTTAGTAAAAGGCGAAAGTTTTTCTCGATTTGCGAAGAGACCAGAGATGATAATTCTAATAAGATTTGAGCCTCATTTTATAAGTACACAGAAGTCATTTTCAAACAAATGTCTTTGCTAAATTCAATTGTAAATTCAGTCTATTTCACACAAAAAAAAAACTGCAAAGTTCCTTCAATAAATAAGACATAGGGGCCTCTTTTAACCACTTCAGCACAATAGATTCAATACTCGGCCTATGAAAAGAATAAATTATACTGGATGAGAGACTATAGACGCATTTTACGACGCAAATTTAGCTCTAAATAAAGTGAATATGCGCTCTAAGCTCAGCTCAGACAAGTCAAATCTATCTCGGATTATTTCGTTGTTTCACGCATTTATAGCAACAAAATGACATACAATAGCAAGTATAAAGTAAAGTAAAGGCAACTATTCTATATATTTTTTGACGTGATAGTAGTATACAAAAGCCTCTTTTTCCCTTCTTGCTCTTGAGATGGTAAGAAATTCACCATGAGAGCTTGAATCTTCTCAGTGAAAACTTCAAAAAATATACCATTTACAAAGCACAATTTTCAAAGTAAAAGAATGATCTTACATTCGGTGTTCTACCGGCCCAAATAGACTGTCTCAAATCATCCTTGGTCTCTTCATAGCCCCAAGGGTTCATCGTCTTCTGAGGGGGAGGGCGGCTGCGACTGTCCCTTCCACTCACATCCACTTTCCAGTCCCCTTGCATTCCCGCTCTCTCGTTCATGCGCCCCCAAACACTCAAACTTTCTCACCGTCCCCGAGGGAGGAAAGGGGGTCTCGTCGGAAGAATCTCATCTCGGGGGTCACATGAGGTCGTCCAGTAGGGTTTTGAATGGTGCTGAACTGTTTTGTGTTCATGTCTTCATCTCGAGTCAACGTGGGCTGCGACTGCTGGTCTAAGATACTGGGCAGCTGAAGAAACGAATATGTTTTTAACTTGACAATTTATACTTTTTTGGGCTATCTGAGCATGAGCACCTATGTGGGTACGGCGTGGTGTCACGAAACCAATAAGTTCGTTGTTTGGAATAAGTTGGTTCACAATGTTTGAAAACACAACGCTCAGCATATGGCCGAACCCAATTTCGAAATTTTTTTCAAATAATTTTTGAAGTACTAATTTTATAAGGGAATTTGTTTTTTTTCACTAGAAGTCACATTTTCTGAAACCGCTGTTAAAATATGTGTATAAGTTTCACGCTTTTAATCCAGTCAAATCCGATTCAAAAAAGCGCGTTTTTGTTGAGTAATTTTCGTTAACTAGTAAAAAATATAAAAATTGCTCCTATCTGAAGACAAAAATTCAATACTCCAATCAATTCAAATCCCTACTAATAAGGTTTTTTACCCATTTCTTACAGCCTTCGAAATTTTTTGACCTAAATTTTTTAAAACATTTTTTCATAAACAACTCTTCTATAACTGATATTTTGGGTCCATTGGGTAGAAAAGGTTGTGATAAGCTCCTCTAGACAAGTGCCTACGCCCAATTTTCTACAAAAAAAATTTTAAGCTCTCAGAAAAGTCAAATTATTGACTTTTTCACCGTTTTTTCAAAAAGTTTTTCAAACAATACACTCCCAAGTTTGAGATTTTGGTTTTCATTGTCCCTACGATTCAGCGGTTACGACAAATTAATTTAAAACAAAAAATGGTCTTCGGAGAAGTCAAAGTTTAGATTTTTTGACCGTTTTATAGAACTTTTTGATTTTGCTCGGAAACTACCCTCCCAAAACTGAGGTCTTGATTTCAATCAAAAACACGGGTTGTGGGAAGCTCTCTTGTTTTAGCGCCTTAGCTCACTTTTTGTATCGAGAAAAGTTATGATCCTCGGAAAGGTTATTGTTTTGTTTCTTGTCCATGTTTTGAAACTTTTTGACTCTTCTTGAAAACAGTTCAATCTGATATCAAGCGTTCAATCGATGCAATAAGTTGAGGAAAGCCTCCGTGCATAAGATGCTATGCCTTAAAGTTTGTACAAAAACTATTGTCTCCAGGGAAACTCCAAACAAATCACTAAATTATTTTTGAAATTACCCATTTCATCTCGCATCAGTACCATAAAGTCAAAAAGTATCAAACAGGTACCTCCAGTTTTAGCTGGACCTCTAGTCAAAAATTTTGCGAGGTGCAAAAAATTTCCATACCTCAAAAAAGCAAATCCCATGTTTTCATCAAACATGAACTATCCACCACTAAATCAGATACCAATCATAATGATATGCAGCAAAAGTGAACAAAATATAATGCTTCAAAATGCGCCAAATAAACGAGCATCTTCCTAGTTCGTAATACTACGCTCTACTTGTATAATTACTTTTTTTCGTGAGACAGTACAACACATTCGACTAACATAGCATAAAACTTTTTTCGAATATTTAATTATAAAACGTTATTACAAATTAGGAAGCAAAAATATGACAATAAATTTATCAGGGCATAAATACAAAAAGAAATTGCATTTCGCAATTTGGAATTGCGGTTCGCGACAATCACAAGACGTTGAAAACGAAAATATCAAAAGAGAAATAAAATGAGGCTGCTTAGATATGAGAAAAAACAAAGTATATCAAAAATGATTGAAATGTTTTGTAAAGGCAGTTTAAATGGTCATAGTTCAACTATGGTTTCAGTTTTTTGTTAAGGCATTTGGTTAACAACTTTCATATAATAATCACAGGTTCATGAGAAACTCGTCGAATCCTTTCAGCTGCTTGAATTCCAGAATCATCTGTTGTTCAATCTCGTTCAAGTTGTGAATGAAAGTGCACCTCCCAGCGTGAAGACATTTCCCAGTGGTGTGAAATTGTCGGCAATTTATGGACTTATAATTTATCGGATACTTGGAGGGTCGAAGCTCCGCAATGCTATGCGCAAACTGACATCGATCCTCGTAGCCACAAATGATCCCAGAAGTTACGCTTCGACACAATTTAGTCTTGAACTTTTTGTGGTTCACGATATACTCGCCTGTATTTGTCGAAAGCTGGCTTTGTCGACCTTCGTCCGAATCTTCCGACCATCTCAAACTCTCAGCATTTGTAGCTTCTCGGCTGCAAGTACTCGGATTGCTGCCGAGGTCCAGTCCAAATTGAGCTGCGGGTGGCTCCACGGGAAGCGAGCTGTCAGGGGAATTCGAAATTCCCGAGAAGTAGTCGGTAAAAGGCGAGAAGTATCTCTCACTGAAGTTCTCGTCAGAATTCTCGGCCGATGAGGAGGAAGATTGTTCACGAGCGAAGATGTCGGAGCCGGTTTTGACGCTGAGTTGCAACCCCTGCGTAAATTGTTTGAAATCGAAGAGACTCGATTGGTTCGAGTAGTAGCCAGATGCTTCGAACGATCCGAGAGACAAGAACTCGTCATCGACACTCAGCGAAGGGCTGCAACATGCAGACTACATTATAAAGAGATCCATTTTTTCGTTTTCAATCCGAAACTTTGAAAACTTAGTCGTAGATAAAATATTATTCTTGTTGGCTCTTTTTTCAATTAAAATGATTGCGTGCGACCATGGCGAATACGCATACTAGAACAGGGTAAAGAAAATTTTTTAGATAGATAAGTGTCCTCAAAAATTGACTATGAATGTAATGAAAACTAATATAGCAGATTGCACGGTATGTTTCTCGTGTACCTTATTTGGCGGCTGGCAGGCGGTCTAGCAATGGGCGTCGGCGGATGCACATTTCGTCCGTTGTCGGGTGAATGGGCCAACATATCCGCAAACGAGTTCGCATTCTGAAACAAAAGTTTGTTATCAGTAACATTGGTATTTATATGTCAGACGCCGTCCGTTTGTTAACGACAGGCAGCCTCCTAATTACTGGGAACTTGAATGTTAATTTATCTGAGACATTGGTACAAGTATGATAGCTGGGCCCCTTAAACTTAGATTGGTCCCTAAAGAAAAATGTTTAAACGTAAAAGCTGCAAAATTGTGGTTCGCATTTATTTACTTGTTTTCAAAATTTTTCAAAAATTGCGCGACCCATTTTTCATACTTGCTTTTTCCTGGGACCCAGCTATCATACTTGTAACGAGATATTTTTTGCCCGTGAATTTTATATCACATGAATACTAAACCAGGTATGAGAACAATGGAACAAGGCGGATATCTGTCGGGGAAACCAGGATTTTCGGACAATCAAATCCATACTCCGAGCTTCCTCGCAACATTTAGACCCTGAATTGGATGCAGTAAAATGGTAACATAGCATGCAAGATAGCACTCCCCCCTCGCCCCACCATTATTCGGTACCCGACTATCATTCTTAAACCAATACCGCACCCTATTTGATCTTTGTTTTTCAAATGAACATTTGAACCTTATAGTAGTAATTAATGCGAGATTATCTAGATAAAACAAAGTGATGCAAAAAATTCTCATCGAAATGATCAAAGGGAAACACTTAAGAATCAAGATCTCCAACTATAATTAAAAGAATTGTTCGACAACAAAACACATTAATAAGGAGACTTTATATTTGATTTCTACCTCCCAATTGTAAGTGTATGCCAAATAGAGAGAGCACTCGAAAGAAAGCGTCATCTATGGACTTATTGAGCCAAAGACAAAGTTTTCAATCTGTATCCAAAAAGTCAGTCTCAGAGTTAATTAGACAGAATATATTCAATTTGAATACTTCAAACCCTGGTTTCCCGCGAAAGAAAATTTCAAGTTCCAGATTACAACCATGTACCTCAACGGTGCGTATTCATAGGTTCCAAAATGAAAAATCAGTCCCATAGGTTCCAAAACAAAATAGCAGTCGCATAAGTTCCAAATAGTTTCAATTGGCCAAAAGACTAAATAAGCCGAGTCTCGGTTTAAGGTCGCCGGTGGGCGCTCTACGTGCGCGTCGCCGCTTGGCGGCGATAACCGGCTCTAAATTTCGTATAGGGTCCTACCCTTTGGTGGCAAGCTCGCAACACGTTGGCGCGACTGCGGCGGTCAGTATTCTGCAGCTTGAGTTTATGCTGGTTGAACAGTAAACAATCAATCCATAAATTCGTTGGCTCAAAATTCAACCAATCAGAATTCGAGAAGATAAATTTTGGAACTTATGCGACTGATTTTTTATTTTGGAACCTATGAATATTGGAACCTATGGGAATTCACCACCTCAACAAATGAAAGAAAATGAAATAAGGCCGAATTCGAGATCCGAGGCATGAAATGAGTTGTTTGTTGCTATCGTGCATTAATCAGTTATTCACGCAGGCAGCATAAATGCTGACAGCCATTAGTTAGACTGACCAAACTACGCACGAATTCCATGGAAACATGATTTTTCTAGGCACTTAGAAGTTAATATTCAGATTTGGGATCCTGCCCCGAAGAGCAGGTTTGGAAAAAGATAAAATTCTCAATTTGTCCCTCCGCACGGAAAACTTTAGTAAAAGGCGAAAGTTTTTCTCGATTTGCGAAGAGACCAGAGATGATAATTCGAATAAGATTAGAGCCTCATTTTATAAGTACACAGAAGTCATTTTCAAACAAATGTCTTTGCTAAATTCAATTGTAAATTCAGTCTATTTCACACAAAAAAAAACTGCAAAGTTCCTTCAATAAATAAGACATAGGGGACTCTTTTAACCACTTCAGCACAATAGATTCAATACTCGGCCTATGAAAAGAATAAATTATACTGGATGAGAGACTATAGACGCATTTTACAACGCAAATTTAGCTCTAAATAAAGTGAATATGCGCTCTAAGCTCAGCTCAGACAAGTCAAATCTATCTCGGATTATTTCGTTGTTTCACGCATTTATAGCAACAAAATGACATACAATAGCAAGTATAAAGTAAAGTAAAGGCAACTATTCTATATATTTTTTGACGTGATAGTAGTATACAAAAGCCTCTTTTTCCCTTCTTGCTCTTGAGATGGTAAGAAATTCACCATGAGAGCTTGAATCTTCTCAGTGAAAACTTCAAAAAATATACCATTTACAAAGCACAATTTTCAAAGTAAAAGAATGATCTTACATTCGGTGTTCTACCGGCCCAAATAGACTGTCTCAAATCATCCTTGGTCTCTTCATAGCCCCAAGGGTTCATCGTCTTCTGAGGGGGAGGGGGGCTGCGACTGTCCCTTCCACTCACATCCACTTTCCAGTCCCCCCGCATTCCCGCTCTCTCGTTCATGCGCCCCCAAACACTCAAACTTTCTCCCCGTCCCCGAGGGAGGAAAGGGGGTCTCGTCGGAAGAATCTCGGGGGTCACATGAGGTCGTCCAGTAGGGTTTTGAATGGTGCTGAACTGTTTTGTGTTCATGTCTTCATCTCGAGTCAACGTGGGCTGCGACTGCTGGTCTAAGATACTGGGCAGCTGAAGAAACGAATATGTTTTTAACCTGACAATTTATACTTTTTTGGGCTATCTGAGCACGAGCACCTATGTGGGTACGGCGTGGTGTCACGAAACCAAACATTCGGATAGCCGAAACTTTGCTCCCGGATAGCGGACTATAATGAAAAAAATACCAAAAAAAAACAAGTAAATTATCGGATAGAAGCATTGGATAAAAGCGACCGCTTGCTCCACTACGTGGGTGGTAAAAGTGTGATAGCTGGGTCCCAGGAACAAGCAAGTATGAAAGAGGGGGTGAATTCCCATAGGTTCCAATCCAATATTCATAGGTTCCATAATAAAAAATCAGTCGCATAAGTTCCAAAATTTATCTTCTTGAATTCTGATTGGTTGAAATTTGAGCCAACGAATTTATGGATTAATTGTTTACTGTTCAACCAGCATAAACTCAAGCTGCAGAATAGGCGCCAACGTGTTGCGAGCTTGCCACCAAAGGTTAGGACTCTATACGAAATTTAGAGCCGGTTATCGCCGCAAAGCGGCGACGCGCGCGTAGCGCACCCACCGGCGACCTTAAACCGAGACTCGGCTAATTTAGTCTTTTGACCAATTGAAAAGATTTGGAACTTATGCGACTGCTTTTTTATTTTGGAACCTATGGGACTGATTTTTTATTTTGGAACCTATGAACCCCGCGAGAATCAGGGTTTGCCATATCGAGCACAATTTTTTTCTACTATCAGAGCATTCGGCTGTGGTTTGTTAAACATCAAAACTTAAATGAAATAAAGTTACAAAAACAATATTTACCGCTACCATTGCAGAGGCAGTTCTGTTACGTTGAAGCTGAGCTGTGGGCAGTTTAGGCGGACTGACCATTTTTCCAGAAGGGAACTCGAGAAACCTTTCCATGCAGGTGTTGCTTCGATCGACATTGAAATATCGCGCCATTTTTGGAACTTGCAGAGAACCCTTGACAGAAATAAATTGCTTAACCTTTTTCTATCAAAACATAACAACGAATATGTATGATTATTAGTATTTTTCACATTTACCTGGGTTTTAATTGCAGAGGTACGGTCAAATTGGTGACAATTAACTTGTAAAAACTGTTGATTTGATTGTGATTTTGAAATAGTATTGAGTTTAGAATAGAATTAATTAATTTAGATTAAATTGCTTAATTTAAATATTTTTTAAAGGTTTGATTAGCAAAGTTAACTGGCAAAATATGAAAAACGAGAGTTAGTGGTTTCAAACTTTTCGATTGGAAGTTTAGGAATCAAACGTTCAATAAATTAAATTTTAAAAACTTTTTGACTTCAACTTCTGTGAGTTTTTAAAAATTGGATAATAAATAAAATAGTATTTTTCTAAAACGAAATGAAATGCTAGTCTCTGATTGGTCGAGAATTAATGAAGCGAAAACAAATTAGAGTGGTTTTGCAAATTGGGAATTCCAGACACTTAGGCGCCAATAAATCGACAACTTCAAAAAGCGCGGGTAAATTTGAGAGAAACCGAAGAAGCGAATGCAAAATCTCTCACACTGTCATCTAATTATCAAAATCTTCTCTTTTTGTGGGGTCGAGTGACTTTTCATAATTGACCGATGGTTAACCTTCTTTGTTTTCAAACGATTGTTATTGTTTGTTTGTCGGTTGACCTAATTGAAAGATTGTAACATTTCTCCCGATAAAAAATATTTATCTACATTGAGCAGTCGAGCTTACTTTTTTCGTCGTTTCTCTCTAAGATTCTCAAATACGTGTTTATTGATGGGTTTTTCCCTTTTCTCTGTCTTCCTGGGTTTTAACAAATCATACTGTTACTTTGCCGCAGTTTGAGGATTCTGACAACTTTTGTCATCATCTTGTGGATTGGTGCCATTTTATTAATTGGTTGGCTGTTTCTTAAACGTCTTTTCGAACTTTTGGCTCCTCTTTGTTTGCTACTTTTCCCACCAATCCATATATTGAGAAGCTTATATTTGACCTTTTAAGCTTGATGAATTTTCATAACTATCGCATTCAGTCTGTCAAAATTTTGTTTCGAAATTTTATCAATTACAAATGAAAAAACGTTAGCTTGATAGAAAATGAAATAAAGTTTTTGGATCAACCGTAGGGGTCTAGGACAACAAGCCGACGGGACTTCAAGCCGAAGGGACTTTAAGCCGAAATTAAAACTTTACAAGCACCCCAAAACGCTATTTTATCATCTGCAAAATGTTGCTTTTCTAAAATTTTGGCAAGTTTAGTCCATAGTAAGCGTTATTCATGACAATGCACCACTTGTGATTCGCATCCGTTAATAACATCAGCCGGTTTTTGAAATGCATAAATTATAAACATGAAAAATGCCTTCAACCATGTTTTACTTTTCAACTTTCCGGAACATCATTTGGAGGCTTAAATTATATGCAAACGCCAATAACTAGTGAAGAAAGATAATGAAATTCAGAAATTCTTCAAAAAAGTTTTCAAATTAATCATATTTCACGACTTTATAAGGAATTATTCGGCTTGAAGTCCCTGATTTTACAATTCGGCTTGAAGTCCCGTCGGCTTGATGTCCGGCACCCCAACCGTAGCATCTCCCGCTATTACGCTATTAAAGCTTTTATTAAAGCGTAGCGTAAGCGACAATGAGTGCCGTATGTCAAACCGACGGACTTCAGGCCGAATGGCGTAAATATAGAGACGTCAGGCCAAAAATGAAACAAAAAAAATCCCAAAAGCGAGTGATTTAAGTTACGTAAAATGAAAAATTTTTATATTTCATGCTACCGTCAGGTCTTTCATAATTTTAAGACCAAGAAAAGTTAAGATTGTTAAACAAAACAATATGCATAAGGTATTTCCTGTTTATAATTAAAGCAATTTCAAAACTGATTGATTTAACGACTCAAAAAATTTGAGTAGGTTTCATTACTAAACATCTACTTTACAGACAAAGTTATGGTATTCCCAGTTTTACTCATTTTAGTAATGTTTTTCATGCACTTGAAAAGTTTGAACTTCTCCCTAAGTTCCTTTGGCTTGAAGTCCCGTCGGCTTATTGTCCTAGATCCCTGGTCCCATACTAAAAATCCGTCTATCAGAAATCATTGTGAATCAGATTTAGGCAAGTTGATTGATCTCCAATACCACGCTGCTAGATCAGAAAGAAAAAGTTTTAAAGATTTTGCAAAAAATGAAATTTTTATTTTCTAAAAGTTATCAATTTTACATCGAAAAAATACTTCAGATAAACTCAGCAGCACTCGGAACATCCAGGGTAGCCGAAAAAATGTGGCACTCCTAATCAGACATATCTACGATAAATGAAGCAGCCACCACTAGTGAAAAACGGGGCCTAGGAAATTAGACGATAAGCAAATTAGACGGATGCTACAAAAACGAAATTTGACGGAATTTATTTTTTACAGATCTGGCATTTTAAACGAAAGGGAAAGGGCCAACAAAAATTTTTCTTAAGAGTCAAGTTTCACAAATACAAAAAGAACATAAAATGTCAATTCCTATCAAAACAATTAGTTTAAATGAACCTAAAATGTCAAATCTGAATATTACAGGAGAGTTTTGAATTGAATAAATTATGCATGATTGACTTGTAAAGTTTTTGGCCACCGAAATTGAACTGTTGTCTACAAACAATTTTATTTTTCTAACGCAATTTGTGTGCAAACAAAGTTAATTTCTCTCACTTTTGTCCATTTTCTCACAATTGCAGTTTTGCAAAACCGTCTAATTTCCTTTTAAGTACCTCCGTCTAATTTGCTTATCGTCTAATTTCTCAACCCCCGTGAAAAACATGTCTAAGCAATTCAAACCAAACTGTATCAGGGCGACAGTCCGAATATTGCGACTGTCTTTCAAAATTTCTGATCGTATTTATGGCAGTAAAATTTTGATCAAATTTTCAGAAAAATAAAAATTTGTTATTTTTAGTATCAAACAGAAAATGATAAGTTTTGCGTTGATGCAGTAAAAGGATCAATTAGTGCGCCTCAACTCAATTCCGAAAGATATTTTTTAAACCTGATTTATTAACAGATTACGGCACGCTCTCAAGAAAATAGAAATTTGGCGCAAATTATTTTTAGTTAAGTGGCCCCTATATATGTAATACCCTTACAGCCTTGCAAAAAAATGTTGCATAAATAATTTTTCGTGCAAGAAGCTAACAGCAGCCGTTTGTGAAATTCAACCAGATAGTATCTTTATTTGAGCAACGCTTGAATTTATAAAATGCAAAGGCTTCACTATGCCTAACTTAGATTAATTATCACCTATTTAAAAAAAAATGCTACCATAATTTTAAGTTTGAAATCTAAAAATTGTCAGCGAATACTAAATCTACAAATTTCAAATCTAGTGTTTGCCAAAAACGAATTTATTGACCTTCAAAACAACGCCATGTATAAAATTAATGCAAGTTGTATTGCCTAAAACCTGAATTTAAATCAATTTGAATTTATATTTCAGAAATTTAACAGAGAATCTATTCACTTAGAAAGATCAAAAAGGCCCAGGAAAAAATGTCCTCCTCAATTCACAAAACGCTCGAAAAATGCTATCATGATTGCGTTTAAACAAAAAAAATCATTCGCTGAAGCGCAACACGTCGCTGTGCCTGTTTTTTTTTGAAAAAATGACATGGGTTCAAATTATTTATAAAGATAGCAAGACTGCTCGTATATCAGGGCAAAGCCCTGATTGTTCCGGCTGTCCCTTATTCTATATAAAATAGTTTCTGGGGGGAAAATGTTGAAAACCTATAAATTTTGGACAATATCAAAGTGTGAAATTTTGAGATGAACAAAATTAATACGACCAATTAGGAGTGCGGTCTGTATTTAGGCAGCCGCGTATTCATGCTCGTCAGTATTTAGACAAATGCTGTATGAACCAATCAGAATCGAGATAAGACATAAATAATATAAAATAATTAATAATTATTTATTAATTTCTTCCTTTTCTCGATTCTTATTGGTTAAAACAGTATTTGTCTAAATACTGACGTGTCTGAATACGCGGTTGTCTAAATACTGCTATGTAACCGACCAATTAGCTAGCCTCAATTCAATTTGGAACGATTTTGTTGTGCGGGATAACTCGCCACGCATAAATAATTCGCGTTACGCTCTCAGCAATATAAACAAATTCTTCAAGCGCACATAATTTAGTCGAGAACATGACAAATTTGGCAATTTTCAAACCCCCAGAATTTTACCAAAATCAATCGGAGGTGAAATGTCTTTTTACATTTGAACTCAGGAAGTCAATATCTTCAATGGGGTATAAAAATTTTTGTTGAAAATTATGATTTCGATCGGCGAAAATTGACTGAATAATAAAAAACATAAATGCTCCGTTTTCTTCGAAAGTCATAACAACAAGATTGCTCGTATCAGGTTAAAACCCTCAATGTTCCAACTGCTTCTTAACGTCGATTAAAAAATGTAGCATGAAAAAATTGCGAAAAAAAGCTAAAAAAAGGTACTTGAGTCAAGGAGAGTTTTACTCTCTCTCATACGTAATGAATAGTACAAAGTCGAAACTTTTGCTTCTGGGAACACTAAAAATAAACTGAAATGATTTAATTCGACCAGTAAACTTTGATAGGACGAAGTATATTGCTCATTAACCAGCCCAAAAGTGCCAGATTATCAACTATCAAACTCCGATTACTTGACAAAAAAGAGCGAAGATAGTTTTTTTCTACTTTTTGAGTTCCGAACGTTGATAGCTAATAATAAATCCAGGTCGTAAATTTTTGTCTGATTAGTTAAAAAGTCAAAATTAGTCTCGAGAAAAAACTATCTCGAGCGAGATATTCAGATATTCAATAAACAAGGACGACTGCTCGTATAACAGGGCAAAACCATGTTTTGGTGAAGCAAATTCCGACTTGCTATAATGTTTGAACGCTCCCAACTGCGAATATAAAAAAGTTAATGCTAAAAGGTGGGTGGAAACCAATTTACCATTTAACAT